TTATTTTTCCCCCTGGACTTCCACAAATATGATCCTTCAAAACCTTTCCAAAGACCTTTCCAAGGATGGAGATGAGACCTGACTGACCTATAATTACTCAGATTCTGCTTCCTCCCCTTCTTGAAAATAGTGACCACATTGGCCCTTTTCCAGTTCTCCAGGACCTGACCCAAGCCCCATGAATGCTCAAACAGCTGTGCCAGTGGTTCTGTTATAACACCAATCAATACCTTCAGTACTCTCAAATGAAGCTCATCCAGGCCTGCTGACTTAAACACATCAGGCACGTCCACATGAGTGCGCATGTGCCTCTTGCCCCACCTCAAACCCCTTTGAGGTGGGGCAACAGGCACGTGTGGGAATGAAAAAATGTTCCCTGCGCTGCAAGTTTGACCCCTGGTCTAATTTAGATTTTAAACATCTAAAAAAAATTGTTGTTTAAAAAAGTGGGGCAGGGCACAGTCCCGGACCATGTGCTGAGGGAACCAGAGCCTGGGTTGTCCATGGAGATGCTCTGGATGTCAGAGCATCTCTATGGTTGGCCCTCACCGTGGTGCTGAAACACGTGGTTTAAGAACCAGGGCTCTGGTACTGGTGAGTAAGGGGCTGGGAGGCCTGGAGGAGGGGGAAGGGGACCATGGAGGGACCCCTGATAGCCCCACTCACTCCTCCAGCCCCCCTGACCCCTGCTGCGGCCAGCCCCTCCCCCAGCCAGCCCCCCTGAGAACCCCGGCCACCTGCTGAGGCTGGCCCCTCCCTCCACCAACCCCCCAAGGCCGCTAACTCCTGCCGTGGCTAGCCCCATCCCTCCAAGACCCCCCTGATCCCTGCCCCCTGACCCCAAAGTTTTAAAAAACAAAACAAAAAAACCCCGTCACTTACCTGCAGTCTGCCTGCTGTCTGGCTGACTGGGGCCCCATCTGCACAGTGTGGGGCAGGGTGACAGCCCCAGAGGCCCCAGCCAGGTCCTGCTGCCTCCCTGCTGTCCTGTGCTGCCCTGGGGAGCTCTGCCAGGAGGCTCAGGAGCCCCCCACCCTGCTTCTAAGGCAAGCAGAGGCTTTTTTTCCATTTTTTTGCAGGGGGGTGTTTCTGGGGGGTTAAGTGACAGTGCCTGGGGGGTTAAGTGACAGTGCCTGGGGGGTTAAGTGACAGTGCCA